ACGTATATTTTAGGACTTTACCAATTTGTGTAAGTATGTCGAGTGTATTTATCTATTTGAGTGTATCTGCTTCTATACTCAGACCTTTAGGTATGTATGTCACACCACTTAGCAATACCTTTCTTAGGCAATGTACACCTCTAGGGTTGAGGTGGTCCTATGATTTAATAGATGAAACCTACTGATGGTATGGGGGAAGTGAGGGAAGTGGCAGGCAGCTGAACTCTGATCTTGAAGAAAATCAGTAGGAGCTGTGATGAGGATTCAAATCCATGCGCTGGGCACTCCCAAGTACACGCTTTAGACAACTAGGTCACGACATGGTAAAAATTATATTTTTACCATGTCATGACCTAGTTGTCCAAATAGTTTGCTTGGGAGTACCCAGAGCATAGATTCGAATCCTCATCAAGGCTGCTCCTGATTTCTCATTCATACATCACGTTAATGTTATTTCTATGCTCTGATCCAGGAGAAGTGGGTGGGTAGAGGAACTTGTTGAAATACTGAACTTGTTACAATACCCCAGAACTTGTAAAGCAAGCAGTAGTATGATGCAACACCACCCTTGTCATGTGCTGTTCCCTGAAAGTATAGAAAAATTAAAGCATACCTAAAAACTCACCCATCCACTTGCCCACTCACCACATCCCATCCTCCCCCCACTTTGCCCCTCCCTTCCCCCTTTGTAATCTCCTCTATTCCTTCCCCTCCTTCTCCACTCTTCCTCTTGAGTCCCACTCCACTCTTGTGGAGTCCCTACACAAATAAGTAAACTAGGGGAAGGGCTTAATGGATTGGTTAAAAGACTAAACATACGTAATTGTATAGTAAATTATTTGGCCAAAATTATTTAGTCAAGGGCCAAGTACAGTACTGTGTTGATATCAGTGTTGAAGTTCTTGAATGGGTTGACCTATTGGTACCTTGGGGTTACTGCCATCTCTGGCAAGTGAAAGAGGAGCTTGATCAACCCTTAGGAACCTGTAGAAGTTGCCTTGTACAGCTTGAATATACACTGTTGACTGGTCATTGAGCTTCCCAATCACAGCATACTCTTCTAGTGATGTAAAGAAGCTGAAAAGCATACAATTGCACTCTCTTAGAGTACTGTACCAAAACATTGACTGTGACAAAGAACGCTCTTTTTGGCATTAAAAATTAAATTGAACGATGGAGGCCGAGCAGACAGCACACTGGACTTGATCCTATGGTCCCGGGTTTGATCCCGGGCGCCGGCGAGAAACAATGGGCAGAGTTTCTCACCCTATGCCCCTGTTACCTAGCAGTAAAATGGGTACCTGGGTGTTGGTCAGCTGTCACGGGCTGCTTCCTGGGGGCAGGGGGCCTAGTCGAGGACCGGGCCGCGGGGACACTAAAGCCCCCAAATCATCTCAAGATAACCAAGGTTACCAGAAATCCCCATTAAACAGACAATAAGTAATGGTAATGTCTTCTCAGGCATAACATGGGGGGGGGGGGCAGTGGCTGAGTGGACAGCACGCTGGACACGTAATCCTGCGGTCCGGGGTTCGATTCCCGGAGTCGGTGAGAAACAACGGGTGGAGTTTTTCACCCCTGATGTTCCTGTTACCTAGCAGTAAATAGGTGCCTAGGAGTTAAGACAGCTGTTATGGGCTACTTCCTGGGGGGAGGGGGGTGAAGAAGGAAAATTGTTAGTAGTTGGTACCAGTTGTTGATACAATTGACAGTTGAGAGGCGGGCCGAAAGAGCAGAGCTCAACCCCCGCAAGCACAACTTGGTGAATATAGGATAAAACCCACACTTACGTATTTGTGAAATTTATGTAAAGGCATATGATGAAATCTCTGGAATTATGAGCAGATGTGCTGGTTGCTGTGGGTGCTGAAGGAGACTTATGTATACTGAATAATTTATCCTTAAGATCCTACTACAAATTGGGGGCATCATCAAACAAGATGGCCAAGGAAAGGGGGACAGAAGAGCAAGTCTGTAAATCTTTGAGGGACATAATGCCGGTGCAACCTGACAACCTCGATCATTATGGATAGGATCTGTAATTGCAAGAAATCTTGGATAAAAGTACCCATAGGGATTTGGGATGGAAATAGCCGAGTAGTGGAGTTACAGAATCTGCAATATGAGAGAACAGTGTAGTATTACAAAAAATCTTACATTTAAGTTAATGCATACTTTTTCAAATATAGCTGCCTGATGAGGTTCTGGGAGTTCATCTACTCACCAAACCCAGCCTGAGGCCAGGCTTGGGGAGGCTTAACTCGGGAGTTGGTCAAACAGACATGCTTGGAGCAGCCCGCAGGCCCACCACAGCCTGGTTGATTTGGCACTTCTTGAAGAAAACTAGTTTTCTCTTGTAGGTATCCATGGTTGTTCCGACAATATTTCTTACATTCGCTGGGAGGATGTTAAACAACCGTGGACCTTTGATGATTATAATGTTCTCTGATCGTGCTCATGGCACCCCAGCTCTTCACTGGTTCTATTCTGCATTTTCTTTCATATCGTTAACTCTAGTATGTTGTTATTTTACTGTGTAGATTTGGGACCTGGCCCTCCAGTATTTTCCACGTGTATATTATTTGATATCACCCTCGTCTCCTTTCTAGTGAGTACATTTGGAGAGCTTTGAGATGATCCCAATAATTTAGGTGCTTTATAGCATCTATGTATGCCGTACCGTACTCCCTCATTCGGCAATCTTTCCTGCTCTGACAGGGCGAGTACTGAGCAGTACTCAAGACTGGACAGCACAAGTGATCTGAATAGTGCAACCACAGTGATGGGATCCCTTGATTTGAAAGTTCTTGTAATCCATCCCATCATTTTTCTGGCTGACAATATTTTTGATGCTCCCTTAACATTAGGTCGTCAGACATAATTATTCCCAAATCCTTTACATGCTGCTTGTCCACTATGGGCAGATTTGATTGTTTTGTACTCTGTATTATGTTTGTCCTCATTTTTACCGTACCTGGAATTTATCATTGTTGAACATCATGTTATTTTCTGCTGCCTAGTTGAAAAACTTCAAGCAGACATTAACACTTTCGCGCTCCGTGGAAACTCGCGGTTGACAGGGGGATCGTGGCCCCTCCGTGCGGGTAAGCGCGCGGTGACACTCAAATGTGTATACTCGTTCCAGTTTTCTCACCTTAATTCTCGCGCTACGTCGCTCATTCTGGTATCATTGTGTTCGCAATTAAATTCTCTACAGGTGTGTATAAATATAATGTCCAAAAGCCTAGCGTGACTCCCAACAGCAAAGCGTAAAGTCGGCAAAAACGCACAAAATCAGTAACATGTGCATTCTCGTTCCATTTTTTTACCTTAATTCTCGTGCTACGTCGCTCATTTTGGTATCATTGTGTTCGCAATTAAATTCCCTACAGATGTGTATGAATAAAATGTACAAAAGGCTGGAGTGCCTCCCCGCAGAAAAGCCTAAAGTTACCCATGAACGAGCACCATTTTGTACATTGCAACCTAATGTTCAACTCGTTCAATTTGATAACATCAAATTTCGTGCTACGTCGCTCGTTTTGGTATCAAATTGTTCGCAATATAAAGGCGATTATTTTAAAACTAGTCCCAGAATAATAGAGCAATAACTGGATTTTTAACAAATATTTTAATTCTGGGCGCTAATCATCACAAATTTATTTATATCTTTCCAGTGTTCTGACATAAATATTTGTGTTACATCTTTCATTTTGGTATCAAATTGTTCGCAATAAAAAGGCGCACATTTTAAAACAAGTCCCAAGATAATAGGAAAATAAATAGAATTTTAACAAATATTTTAATATTCAGACCATAGACCTATTTATAATATTTCGAGTGTTTGGACATCAAGTTTCATGTTATATCTTTGATTTTGGTATCAAATTGTGTGCAATCTAAAGGCGCTTATTTTAAAACCACTACCAGATTGATCTGATAAAATTTAAATTTTTAAAAAATATTGTAATGAGTGACTCAGTATTGCGTCGTTGGAACACATTCAGTAGAAAAATAAATGACGAATTATTCAGTCTGTGGAACGCGAAAGTGTTAATAAAGTTTTCAATGTCTTCAGCAGAGGTAATTCTCATGCTGATTTGTCATCTGCACAGGATGATACGAAGCTGTGACTTGTATACAAATACAGACCTTGAAAGATTTCCCCACATTGCACCTGCAAGATTATGTAAACATAAGGGTTGTAATAATTCAACCCTTCAGGTATTCTGTATATACCTTGTTTGACTGTTCACAAGACATACTTCACAAGTTCAGCTGCATTTAGATGCAAGTGACAAGATGAGCAACACTACAAATTTTCTGTAAATGGGGGGGGGGGGGGAGAGGTGTGTTGTACATGCTGCTATGGCAATATGTTCACTCGCAGGATAAATGCTACCCAATAAACTTGCTTTTAGGAGCAAAACTAAAGTACAGTATAGCATTTAGCAAGGTAGAACAAGGGGACATTGATAGAAACTCGAGATACAGAATTTGCTCCTTGAGAAGCAGTGCAAGGATATAGAGGGTCAGAGATAGTTAAAACTTCAGTAATACATTGGTGTTTTCATAAGTGTATATGACAAGATGAGTAATTAATGATAAGGCAACTCTCCACTTAGCTGCAAGCTGGGGTCATATTCACAATTGTCTCCCATGCATAGTGACCATAGTGTGTTCAGCATGCCTGGACACCTAAAAATACCCATGCACATTTGTTAGCTCTAATGGCAGTGAAATTCAAACCCACTGATAGCATCTTGCCTCCTATGATTGTCACCTTTAGCACAGGCTGCGTAACAATGACTACTAGATTGAAACTTTAATTTTAAGTATTTAAGCATTCATGTGTGCACAAGCTAGTGTAATTTTGTTTGATACAAATTGATAATAACTGAACACTGTACTCTCAAGTTTTTAGCACTAGTTTAGTTTGAAAAGCTGTGTGGCAATTGTTAGAGTTTCATTTTACTGTATTTACAAAATTTTACATACTCAGGTGGACTGAGTGCTGGTGCAGTTTACAGGTAACCGTGCCATGATTATACTTGGTGTGTTTTGTGCTTGGATTAATTGTACTCTATAGGCACTAATTCAGTAGTAGAATACTGTCCACTATACAGTATTGTTACTGCTCCCCCCCCCCCCCTTCCCCCACAGCAGTCCTCTTTTGACGAGGTCGTTCCTGTTGCATCAGTATTGTGTGTTCTTAGACTGGCATACTATACTAGTTTTGAGTGTTTTGGCTTTAAGATAATTAACCTTGCAAACATGTTTTATCCTGCAATACAGTATTTGTAAATATAAACGTTATTTTTATTGGAAGTTACTCCAAGGATTAAAAATGCATCTGGATATTGTATAATGCATGAAATGTTTGCCAGGTTTAGAATGTCCAGAAATTTTATTCCATTGATATTACATTATTGAGAACATTACTTTCCAATATATTTAGAAAATTATTTTTTACTTGTGTGGACATCTTTGGAGGAACTCTCAATTATTTGTTCAATTAATAATTGGTCATGTTTTGTGACGGTATAATTTACTTTACATTTATGCCTTGAAAGTAGCATGAGTGAATTTAAAGTAAATTGCAGGTAACTTTAGGGCAAAACCACTGTATCCTTGGTGTTTTGAAACCCAATTATTGTATTGAAATTTATAGGTGTTGCTTTGAATTGGTGTACAAACAAAATTAATATTGTAAATGTAAATACTTCATAGTATGTATGGTATATTAAGCATTGGGAAATGTTAATAATTATTTTGTATTAATGAATCCTTTTTTCATTTTAGCTGGATTAGTGTGCGGCTGCATTCAAGGGAGGAAGTGCCAGGAAAAAAAAGATGCTGCTATTGAAGTTTTATAAGTTGGTGTTTCTAAAAGGAAAATAAATGAAAGCATCATCTTGAGAATTTTATTAACCGATTTATATTATTGCTAATTACTTTTGTGGGAGTTTTTTGATATGTTTCCTAAAACATTTTGTGGTGAGAGGGCCCACATACGACTCCCTGGGGCCCGACAGCTGAGTGAACAGTGCTTCAAATTCGTAGGCCTGAGGTCCCAGGTTCGATCCCCAGTGGAGGTGTAAACAAATGGGCAGTTTTTCATCTTGATGCCCGGGCCTGTTACCTAGCAGTAAATAGGTACAGTACCTGGGAGTTGGACAGCTGTTATGGGCTGCTTCCTGCGGGTGTGTAACAAAAAGGAGGCTTGGTAGAGGATGCCAAGTCCCGAAATCATCTCATGATAACCCGTAGGGTTCTTGTGAGTCGCCGAACCTGCAGCTGGAGGGGCTGCCCTCAGTGGATGGTTGGGTGTCCAGGCTGGAACAAAAGGGAGAATGGGGTCTTTGCACCAGTGTGGGAGAACGTACGAGGCAGTAGGACTCGCCTGTTAGAAAAGTGGAGCACCGCTGGGGATGACGCACCCCTTCCTGCACTGGCCAGCATGGCTGCCCTGTCTCCAGGATCCAGACTTTTAGAATTGATGCTGTATGGAAACTGAACCGACTTCTCTTAACCAGGCTCGTGGGGTGGGCGACCAGCCCCCCCCCCCCCCCAAGAGTCAGATTGTGCTGGAAGGCTGGGCTCTTGCTACATTGGGTCCAGATTAAGCTGCTCTGACCCTCCCAACTACCCCCTTCTGCACCCCTCTCACCTGTGGCAGGGTTGAGCCCCCAGGAATGACCACATCACATGAGTGTGGCTCCTCTCATTGTGACAACTATGCCTTTTACCAGTATAGTTGTCTTACTGGTGATGTTTTGCCTCTTACTGGAGGGTGCTCGGTGCCAATCCCTCCACAGATGCACTCGCACGATTCCTTCCAGTTCTAATATATTCCAAGCTTTGTTTGGTCCTGCTGCATGGATTAAGTATTGATATCAACCATGATGATTTCTTCCTTCATAAACACCTAGTTGACTCGGTGCATACCTTTGTCACTTTTAACCACATCCGTACTGGTACATGTTGTTGCAGCCCCTTTTCAGGAAGCAGCTGCCCGCTTGGCCTCGTCCTGCATTGGAGAGACCTGGTTGGGGGGGGGGGGGGTTGAAATAGCCTAAGCTACTTATCCCTTTGAGATATATTTTCTTGTCTCGATAAACATATTTGAAGTTGGAGAGAGCCTTGTTCAAATTTCGAAGAATGCCCGGTTAAATGCCAGCATTGGCAGTTCTCCCGCACCATGTGACTGGTGTTGGGGACCTGAAAGACTGCCATGAGGATATTAAACATATCCTTGAAGCCAAAGGCCATTCTATCCTCTAGATTGATATGTTCACGTAACTAACTTGTAGTCTGGTAGTCGTCAGCCTCTTCGAGTTGTGAACATCGCTTAATAGGTCCCTTCCTCATTCCATAATTCTTGCTGGTGCCAGATGCTCCATTCAGGAGTACATTCTCTCCTAGGCGATTCAATAAATGCTAGAAATTTGGACATGGTCCCCTCAAATGCACAAGTGCAGTGTCTATGCCCGTTTTGTGGGGACTGGGTCACTCTTTAGACAGTGCTCGTCTTCCCAAGCTCACTGCATCAATTGAGATGATGCCCACCCTACCTTCTGCATGTGTGTACACTACAAATTTAAGGAAGCCATCCTGAATTTGAAACATTGCGATCATTTATCTTTCCCCGAGGCGAAATGCCAAGTACGCTGTCTCCCCTCTTTCGCTGGCATGTCTTGTGCTCTTGTGTTGCGTTTCACTTTTTGCCTCACCTTTCTCAGTCTCGTAACTGTTTCCATACCTTGAACAGATCACCACCACCTCATCTGCTGCTCCTGTGTTCTGAACCAGGAAGTCTTCCTCCTGGTTCTCCGTCTGGTGTTTCCTTCCTTCCCAATCTTCACCGTTTCCTGTGCCATCTTTCCTCTGCCCTCCAGGCTGTTGTCCATCCTCCTCCCAGCAATCTTCATGTTGATCGGTTGAACTATGGAGGCTTTCGCTCAGTATTTTGTTGCTGGTACGTCTGTCTGAGGTAGAAACGTAAGCTTGGCTGGCTTCTCCCTCCCCAGTGGGTAAGAAGGCATCCCTCTCTTCCCCACCTTCCGACTTCTTATCCCTGCGTCCCCTCCTATTTCAGGGGTAGAGTCCCCTGTCCCAGCTATGGAGGTCCCCTTGGTTGCTACCCTCGATGAAGTGTGCTCCCCTGATTCTTTTGATCTCTCTGATTCCCCTGTGGAATTCGCAATCCACAGATCAGGGATCAATTCCAGGCTGATAAAAGAACAAATGGACAGAATTTTCCATTTGATGCCTCTGTTCATCTAATTTTCATAGTTTCATCTGTTTGGAGAAAGTATTCATGGCTCCGTAGGACCTGCCCGAAATGCTATGAGGGTTAGTGGCTTCAGAATATAAAAGCATCAATGTTGTGTATTCTTGTAAACCCAATGTACCTTGTATATATATTTAATAAATAAATAGTATACTGACTAGCATGGAATAACTTAAGCTAAAACAAACTTAAATATTCCTAGGCCTAGTATAGCACATACTATATTAGGCCTAAGCAGGTTTAGTTGTTTGTCCAACTCAATAGTTCAGATTTCTACATCCTAATTCAGTTGTACGTCGGAATATATACAGTACTATAGTCCTCATCGTAATTGTAAGTAATATACTGTACTACCAAAACAGGAGGATGGGCTGTAATTTGTTTAATAATATTATATATATATATATATATATATATATATATATATATATATATATATATATATATATATATATATATATATATATATATATATATATATATATATATATATATATATATATAATATATTACACCACACACACACACACACACATGCATGCATAGACACTGCACACTACAGGAGAATAGGCAGATACGTAAAAGGGAAAGATCGACCTTTGAGGATCACCCTAAATGGTGCCAAACAGATGGAAGAAGTACTAAGGAATGCTAGAAAATTACAAAGTGATGAGGATGGGAAAGTGTGGTCGTTAAGATGAGATCTTTCAAAAGGAGAGAGAAGCTGAAACTGAACCTCGCCGAGGCAAAACGTTTAAATGAGAGCACGAATGAAGAAGAAATCGATTCTTTTTTCTACAAAGTGATAGGGGTAGGCAGACCAGTAAAGTGGTACATAAAGGCAAACCAACAAAATCATTAGAGACAGGGGGAGTGAAAAATAAGAAGAGAGGGAACAAGTTCCTGAAGATTGCATACACCAACACAGATGGAGTGAGATCGAAGATACTGGAGTTAAGTGATGTAATACAGCTGCAGACACCAGACATTGTTGCACTACGGAGACAAAACTTGAAGATATTTTAAATGAGGTCATATTCCCAAGGGGCTACTCAATTTGGAGACGGGACAGAAAAATTAGGAAAGGCGGTGGCGTTGCTGTGCTGGTGAAAGAACACCTAAAGGTGAACAAAATAATGACTGCCAATCCATAAGAAGTTGACATAATAGCACTAGAGATCTGCCATGAGGATGATAAACTAATGATCATAAATGCATACAGTCCACCACTAAGCAGCACATGGTCAAAGGAGGAGCTAGATAGTAAAAGAGAAGGTCTTATAACAATAATGAGAGATCATAGCGAGAACGGAGAACGATAGTTCACGACTGTTGATAGTCGGCGACTTCAACTTGAAAGCCATAGACTGGGAAGCATATGAAGCTAAAACAGGAGATTTCTGGACCTGTAAATTTGTAGACCTCGTCCTGGAAACATTCTTGTATCAACAACATTCTTGTATCAACATGTTAAACAAGCTACGAGGATGCGGGAAGGGGACGTTCCCTCCATGCTAGATTTGATATTTACCAGGAAGGAGGAAGAAATATTTGACATTCAGTACCTTCCTCCCTTGGGTAAAAGTGACCATGTCTTTTTGGGAATAAACTATGCGTTATAATCTGGAAGAAAATATGAAGGTTGATGCAATTGAAAAACCTGACTTTAGGAGAGGACATTATGGCAACCTTAGAAATTTTTTTAGTGGGTATAATTGGACAGACTTGTTGCTAGGCAAGGAAGTGAATGAGATGCCAGAGATGCAGAACTAGGAAACAGGATTGGTTCAACAGAAAGTGCGAGAGGGCCAGAGACCAAAAGACAAAAATGGAATCAATACAGGAAGAGACCAAACCCCCAAACATACCAGCGATACAAAGATGCGAGAAACAACTCCACGGCAGTGAGGAGAGAGGCAGAAAGAAATTTTGAAAAAGGGATTGCAGAAAAATGTAAAACAGAACCAGGTCTATTCTATAAATTCATAAACAACAAATTGCAGGTAAAGGATGATATACAGAGGTTGAAAATGGGAAATAGATTCACGGAAAATGAAAAGGAAATGTGTGAAACATTAAACGAAAAGTTCCGAAGTGTGTTTGTACAAAATGAAATCTTCAGGGAACCAGATACAATAAGAATTCCAGAGAACAACATAGAGCACATAGAGGTGTCTAGAGATGAAGTGGAGAAAATGCTCAGGAGCTAAATAAGAACAAAGCAGTTGGTCCAGATGGAGTTTCACCATGGGTTCTGAGAGAATGTGCACCTGCGCTCAGCATTCCTCTTCAACTGATTTTTCAGGCATCCCTGTTTACAGGAGTTGTAGCTGATGTGTGGAAAAAGGCTAACATAGTTCCAATCTACAAAAGTGGAAGCAGGGAAGACCCCCTTAATTATAGACCAGTATCATTGTCAAGTGTAATAGTCAAAATATTGGAAAAAAATAATTAAAACTAAATGGGTAGAACACCTGGAGAGAAATGATATAATATCAGACAGTATGGTTTTCGATCTGGAAGATCCTGTGTATCGAATTTACTCAGTTTCTATGATCGAGCCACAGATATTATAGGAAAGAGATGGTTGGGTTGACTGCATCTATCTGGACCTAAAAAAGGCTTTCGACAGAGTTCCACATAAGAGGTTGTTCTGGAAACTGGAAAATATTGGAGGGGGTGACAGGTAAGCTTCTAACATGGATGAAAAATTTTCTGACCGATAGAAAAATGAGGGCAGTGATCAGAGGCAATGTATCGGACTGGAGAAATGTCACAAGTGGAGTACCACAGGGTTCAGTTCTTGCACCAGTGATGTTTATTGTCTACATAAATGATCTACCAGTTGGTATACAGAATTATATGAACATGTTTGCTGATGATGCTAAGATAATAGGAAGGATAAGAAACTTAGATGATTGTCATGCCCTTCAAGATGACCTGGACAAAATAAGTATATGGAGCACCACTTGGCAAATGGAATTTAATGTTCATAAATGCCATGTTATGGAATGTGGAATAGGAGAACATAGACCCCACACAACCTATATATTATGTGAGAAATCTTTAAAGAATTCTGATAAAGAGAGAGATCTAGGGGTGGTTCTAGATAGAAAACTATCACCTGAGGACCACAAAGAATATTGTGCGAGGAGCCTATGCCACGCTTTCTAACTTCAGAATTGCATTTAAATACATGGATGGTGATATACTAAAGAAATTGTTCACGACTTTTGTTAGGCCAAAGCTAGAATATGCAGCGGTTGTGTGGTGCCCATATCTTAAGAAGCACAACAAACTGGAAAAGGTGCAAAGACATGCTATTAAGTGGCTCCCAGAACTGAAGGGCAAGAGCTACGAGTTGAGGTTAGAGGCATTAAATATGCCAAAACTGGAAGACAGAAGAAAAAGAGGTGATATGATCACTACATACAAAATAGTAACAGGAATTGATAAAATCGATAGGGAAGATTTCCCGAGACCTGGAACTTTAAGAACAAGAGGTCATAGATTTAAACTAGCTAAACACAGATGCCGAAGAAATATAAGAAAATTCCCTTTCGCAAACAGAGTGGTAGACGGTTGGAACAAGTTAGGTGAGAAGGTGGTGGAGGCCAAGACCGTCAGTAGTTTCAAAGCGTTATATGACAGTGCTGGGAAGACGGGACACCACGAGCGTAGCTCTCATCCTGTAACTACACTTAGGTAATTACACACACACACACTGTACAAGAAGGTACAATGGGTTTGAGAATACCTTGATATTTTTACATTCTTTTAAAGCTACTAACACGCGGAGCATTTTGGGCAGGTCCTGAATCTAAATTTTAAGTAGGTAATTTGTAGCAAAATTGAAAAAGGTAACAGGTACATTGTAAGCAAATTTGAAGAAAATTAGTAGGTACATCTTAGTAAAATTTGAGGGTTAATAGGTACATTGCAGCATAATTTGAGGATTATTTCTAGGTGCATCGTAGTAAAATTTGCATTCAATATAACAACCATGACAAGATGATGGCAGTGATTACAACAGTGAATTTATATAGCTTAGGCACATATTTTGGGATAACACACGATTTAGTGCGAGTGAAGCACTAGATAGAAAACAATGAGAATGAAATTAGGTATTTTTAAATGTCTTTTTGTTTAATGGGTAGGTTGGACAGTTTTTTAATTAGGGAGTGAGGAGTTGTATATACTTGAATGCAAATTTCACGTACAGTATATATGGTACTGTATAAGTATTCATGTGTATATACAATTTTAAATAATATACAGTATACAGTACTGTATATAGATGTAATTATGGACTGAAATTGTTGAAAAAGAAAACTACATTATGCATGGACAAATTTATTGAATGCATTTGTTATTTACAACTTTACACAAAGTGATAAAGCTCTAAGTGGAAAGATAATGGTTTGATACAAAAATATACTGCCATCTCTAACTATATAATCTAACAAAAATATATTTATTGAACTGAATCAACTTTGAAAGTAAAATTTCTTGCTAATTAATACTCTTGCCAGTGGAATGTTTTTATAGTACTGTACATGTCTGAAGTTTGCACTAAATACTTATGCATACCTATGGTTGAGGAACCTTACATTATCAGCTTCTTTCCAGGAACCATTGATTCTATGGTCCCACTTTATACCAAAGATCACATGTCAACAGATTGCATCCTGTCAATAAAAAAAAAAAAATCAGATGAGATTTTCTTTAAGCACCTTAAAAATAAATTGATTTTTTTTTTGTAGCATCGTTTGACTTTTGCGACATATGAACGGGATAAGAAAGAGCCGGCATTTTTCTCTCTTTGTCCCTACAGGATCAAACAAGGTACTACTATAGGAGTCACTTGATAACTGATAAAGGTTGATCCAAGTGAAATTAAATGTTGTTAGTGATGCTATTGTGATTTTTTTGGTATACTATGGTGATCTGTTAGGAATCTAAAACCATAATGATCTGTTAGGAATCTAAAACCATAATGATCTGTTAGGAATCTAAAACCATAATGATCTGTTAGGAATCTAAAACCATAATACATGTAAAATTTACAAACTTCTCTGTACATAAAATGGAATGGAATGTGGCTCTATTCCCACTACACTCATCCAAAAGAATAAAACAAATACTGAATAAACCCTTGGTTGTTGGTACCTGCCAGATGCCTTAGAGGTGAGGCTAAACTTTGCAATGGAGTCTTCCCGATAGTTGATAACAAAGAGATCATCATTAGGCGAGATGAAGATACCCGATGGTCGTACCAGTTTACTGTCAGTGAGCAGAACACAAGTGAAGTTCAAACTTGAATCAAATACCTGGAAAAAAAAAATTGTGTATTAAATATCTTTTATGAATTTGTTGGAGACTTCCAACCACATACCGACTTTTTTAAAGAGATTCATGTAAATGTTACAAATTGAACAAATACTTAAACACCATATAAAAGTGAATAAAACTTAGTTTATTAAACTTTAACTTTGACTAAACATTATAAATAAATAATAAAGTGTTTGGGCACCATTCCTTTTTCTCTATTCTATCCTAAATCATTACCCTTTCAAAGTGCTATATAGCTGGAATGGCTTGGTGCTTTCTGATAATTACCTTACCTTAGGCTTATCAAGGTCCATTCCTAAGCAACAACTGCCCTTTCCCAAGATGCAACTCAACAATTGTAACTTTATTAAAAGTGTTTATTCAAACTAGTGTGGTCTAAAAACCATGAGTCATCTGCCTGCAAATACAGTGTAGAATATGGTTTTCAGTGGAAGGATAAAGTGGTTGTGCCACTGATTTATAACTACAATGAATCACAGGAGACCAAGTTTGCCTGAAACACTATGCATATTAGTGGCTTTTGGTATTGTATGTATTAGCTCTATCTATAAATCCAACAGTATGTTTGTTACTCTGCATCTATGTATGTACTTTTCCTAAATTAAATATTATTATTAAGACAAATATGAGACTGTAAAACTTACATAAATATCGAAGGTGTGACAAACATTCATGAAGAGCAAAGCTACAAGTAAAATATTTCAATCATGGAGAAATTAACTCTTAAATTAATGGAGAAATTAACTAACTTTAGTCTCCGTGGTATAGTGGTAAGACACTCGCCTGGCGTTCCGCGAGCGCTATGTCATGGGTTCGTATCCTGGCCGGGGAGGATTTACTGGGCGCAATTCCTTAACTGTAGCCTCTGTTTAACGCAACAGTAAAATGTGTACTTGGATGAAAAAACGATTCTTCGCGGCGGGGATCGTATTCCAGGGACCATAGGATTAAGGACCTGCCCGAAACGCTACGCGTACTAGTGGCTGTACAAGAATGTAACAACTCTTGTATATAAAAAAAAAAAAAAAAAAAAAAAAAAAAAAAAAAAAAAAAAAAAAAAAAAAAAAAAAAAAAAAAACTTAAACAATGGTTATGAGAGGGGAAGACATGAAAAATAAATCTGATAGTAATAGTATAATGGAACTTGCTAATGTACCAATTCAGGGAGAAAGCACAAAATAGGGATGGGGGAAGTGGGGCCAACAACCTAGGGTTAGGATTGTTCTTCACACAGTTGGCTACTGAGAGCACTCAATACATCATACATACCTGTATTCTATGATTCTTGCTGTCTGCTATGTATACATTCCCTAGTGAATCACAGGATATTCCGGCAGGATCTGAAAACTGTCCATCACCACAGCCATTTTGTCCAAACTCGTAAAGTACCATTCCACTTTTGAAGTTAATTACATACACGCGGTTTAGCCCTAAATGAAAAGACTAGAATAAATTCAAAATATTGATGGCAATAAATAACATCTCCAGTCTTTAAATATAACAATATAATGATTTTTTTTTTAAATATACTATTGTTGCTACTTTTCTATAGTGTATTGTACATCATATATACAGTATATATTTATTTTCAATTCTTTATGTTCACATTATTTATTCTCCATGTATATCCAAGTTATTTATTCACAAAAGAAAAATTTGACAAAACAATAAAATAAACATGGCTTTTAATAAAATGACTTGTTTGTATATACATACCTAAATCTACAACCAATACTTTGTCTTTCTTATACCACGTCATAAAGCGAGGCTTGCTGAATGCCAAACGCAGAGGGTCAATATTTAAGTGGACCTTTACTTTGGAAGTTATAATCCCCTTTTGTGGGCATATCGTCAGGAGTACTATAAAGCCTTGAGAATGTGCTTCAAAAGTCAAGAGATTACCCTCATCATCCACTGCAAGACCTGTAGAAAATTGTATGAACACTCACTTAAATCCATTTCCACATACAAAATACATCTTGCAATTCTGCCTACTTTCTCTAATGTGCCCACACTATAATGCAACTGCCATCATTGGTGCACAATACACAGTCTCACACCCCCTGGAACAATTGAATATCCAAAATAAATTAAATCCAAGAATTCCCAGAATCTGAAAATTGTTAATAATACATTTCTGTAGCAAACCTAAAAATTAACCAGAGATCTTAAACAGCTGGGTGGACTTACTTCCACAGTCTCTATTATATACTGAGCAGTGCTACAGGAGACATTGTTGGCACCATGAAACCAAGAGCCTTTGTTTTCAGTGCTTTGTTACTCACAAAATATCTACTCATCTGATGAAAATAGAGTACTGATTTATCAATACAGTATTGGTATCATTTGATAAATTTCTTTTAACAATTCAAGTAAGTAATCATCAAAAGAAGGCACAAATCTAGGGAGGCTATATAGCACCATCAAATATGCGAGACATTCAAAAGGCGCTAAATATCACCAAGGATGCCAATATAAGAACAAAAGTGCATAAGGTGAACAACATCAAAGGTATCCAATTCAGCAAGGATTCTATCAAGGGACAGTCAGGAAGCAAGACACACGCACATCCTGGAAATCAGTACATTCAACAAGGCCATAAAAAGGACGATGCTAGTGGACAATAATGGAGCGTCGCCCTGCTCCCTATTTGCCCCTGAGTTAAACGGGTATAGTCAATATGTAACCTCATCAGAGGTTAGCATTCTCACTGCCGGATACATTGGTAGAAGGAAGGCCATGGGGACACACTACCCTTAAGAGCATGCAACTTGATACTAGTAACAAAAGACCAGTGATCCTGCCAACACACACAGATTGAGGAATACATACTGGGTAAAAGTCGAAATTAGGTACACATTTATGGGAAATAGGACAAGTGCGGATTGCCTCCTTTGCGGCAGCATCCACACGCTCATTTAAGGAAACACAAAATTGGCTGGGAACTCAACAAAACTTGACCCTTGAATCTGCTGAAAATAAACAGCCATTATTGAATTTCGATGACCACAGGATGGACAAGATTAAAGGACTCCAGAACCATGAGAGGACTGCAAGAGTCAAATACAACAACAAAATTACAGAGAGAAAGCAGTTGGCGAAGAGCATATAAAATTGCATAAAGCTCTGCCGTGAAGATGCTAGTCTCTGGAGGCAGGCAACACACATAGGTGCAGTCATAAAATATAAAGGAGTAGCCTATACCACTAGCAGACTTAGACCCGTCTGTGTAGACGGAGCTGGAGTGTGAAGAATCGTGAGCAAGGAAAAGGCATTTCAAAACTTTAGGAGGGGTAAAAACATCTGGACTCTGTGGTGTTTGTGTGTTACTGAGGAAGTCTTGGTTGTAGGGTTGATGTAAAGTCATGACTTGGTTACTGACTTTAATATGTATATACACAATTACATGACTAGCTGCTTCCAAGCTTGGCGGGCGTCCTGTACGCTTTGTTTTCCTTCTCTGGCGTCTGCTGCGCCGCACATAGAAAACAGATGGTACCATTTCTGTGAACATGACAGACCCGGGGCCGAGCCGTCCTCCAAACTTCTGGAGAAAAGGGAGTCCACTGGAAAAGCAGGGATGAAGGGGGGGGGGGGGGGGGGGGGGGGTCCGCTAGCATGACCCAAAAGCTCAGGCAGGAGGAACAGGCTCGAATGCCTCCACTACCGATCCGGAAGGGGCAGTCCCCAAGGCTGCCCAATTCTCACCACCAAGAAAACCCAGCCCGGACTCCAGAATTCTCAGACGTGTGAGAGCCGGGAGCAGGATGAACTACAGCAGGGGAACAACAAGGGGGTGAGGATGAAACTAAAGTCTATGCGACTAGCACCCCCAAGTGCGGGGTCCCAATAACCCAAACGGAGCAGACGTGGGGCATCCGGAAAGGCAACCAACTGAGCACGTTGCAGCAACCGAAATATCGCATGCAACGTGGAAACTGCCTGCACCCGAATATCTGTAACAGTGGACTGGGTGAACTGGAGTGCATGCAAGGAACACCACTTGTATCGGGGACGTTCCCTGCATGCTAGATTTGATATTTACTAGGAAGGAGGAAGAAATATATGACATTCAGTACCTTCCTCCCTTGGGTAAAAGTGACAATGTCTTTCTGGGAATAAAGTATGCAATGCATTATAATCTGGAATATGAAGGTTGATGCAATTGAAAAACCTGACTTTAGGAGAGGACATTATGGCAACCATAGAAAATTTTTTAGTGAGTATAATTGGACAGACTTGTTGCTAGGCAAGGAAGTGAATGAGATGTATGTCAAGTTTTGTGAAATATATGATAAAGGCACAAAAAAATTTATACCAAAACAGAGATGCAGAACTAGGAAACAGGATTGGTTCAACAGAAAGTGCAAGAGGGCCAAAGACCAAAAGACACAAAAACGGAATCAATACAGGCAGAGGCCAAACCCCCAAACATACCAGCGATACAAAGATGCAAGAAACAACTACACGGCAGTGAGGAGAGAGGCAGAAAGAAATTTTGAAAAAGAGATTGCAGACAAATGTAAAACAGAACCAGGTCTATTCTATAAATTCATAAACAACAAATTGCAGGTAAAGGATAATATTCAGAGGTTGAAAATGGGAAAGAGATTCACGGAAAATGAAAAGGAAATGTGTGAAACATTAAACGAAAAGTTCCAAAGTGTGTTTGCACAATATGAAATCTTCAGGGAACCAGATACAATAAGAATTCCAGAGAACAACATAGAGCACATAGAGGTGTCTAGAGACGAAGTGGAAAAAATGCTCAAGGAGCTAAATAAGAACAAAGCAGTTGGTCCAGATGGAGTTTCACCATGGCTTCTGAGAGAATGTGCACCTGAGCTCAGCATTCCTCTTCAACTGATTTTTCAGGCATCCCTGTTTACAGGAGTTGTAGCTGATGTGTGGAAAAAGGCTAACATAGTTCCAATCTACAAAAGTGGAAGCAGGGAAGACCCCCTTAATTATAGACCGGCATCATTGACAAGTGTAATAGTCAAAATATTGGAAAAAATATTTAAAACTAAATGGGTAGAACACCTGGAGAGAAATGATATAATATCAGACAGACAGTATGGTTTTCGATCTGGAAGATCCTGTGTATCGAATTTACTCAGTTTCTATGATCGAGCAACAGAGATATTACAGGAAAGAGATGTTTGGGCTGACTGCATTTATCTGGACCTAAAAAAGGCTTTCGACAGAGTTCCACATAAGAGGTTGTTCTGGAAACTGGAAAATATCGGAGGATTGACAGGTACGCTTCTAACATGGATGAAAATTTTTCTGACTGATAGAAAAATGAAGGCTGTGATCAGAGGCAATGTATTGGACTGGAGAAATGTCACAAGTGGAGTACCACAGGGTTCAGTTCTTGCACCAGTGATGTTTAGTGTCTACATAAATGATCTACCAGTTGGTATACAGAATTATATGAACACGTTTGCTGACGATGCTAAGATAATAGGAAGGATAAGAAACTTAGATGATTGTCATGCCCTTCAAGATGACCTGGACAAAATAAGTATATGGAGCACCACTTGGCAAATGGAATTTAATGTTAATAAATGCCATGTTATGGAATGTGGGATAGGAGAACAAGAGATAACCCCATGCAACCTATATATTATGTGAGAAATCTTTAAAGAATTCTAATAAAGAATGAGATCTAGGGGTGGTTCTAGATAGAAAACTATCACCTAAGGACTACATAAAGAACATTGTGCGAGGAGCCTATGCCACGCTTTCTAACTTCAGAATTGCTTTTAAATACATGGATGGCGATATACTGAAGAAATTGTTCACGACTTTTGTTAGGCCAAAGCTAGAATATGCAGCGGTTGTGTGGTGCCCATATCTTAAGAAGCACATCAACAAACTGGAAAAGGTGCAAAGACATGCTACTAAGTGGCTCCCAGAACTGAAGGGCAAGAGCTACGAGGAGAGGTTAGATGCATTAAATATGCCAAAACTAGAAGACAGAAGAAAAAGAGGTGATATGATCACTACATACAAAATAGTAACAGGAATTGATAAAATCGATAGGGAAGATTTCCTGAGACCTGGAACTTTAAGAACAAGAGGTCATAGATATAAACTAGCTAAACACAGATGCCGAAGAAATATAAGAAAATTCACTTTCGCAAACAGAGTGGTAGACGGTTGGAACAAGATAGGGGAGAAGGTGGTGGAGGCCAAGACCGTCAGTAGTTTCAAAGCATTATATGACAAAGAGTGCTGGGAAGACGGGACACCACGAGCGTAGCTCTCATCCTGTAACTACACTTAGGTAATTACTTAGGTAATTACACACACAGACACACACATTACTTGTGCACCGGAAGGGACCATGCCCAATCTCTAGCACCTGCTGCAGAGGCGAGGAGAGGGGAATGTACTCCTGGACAGAGCATCTGGTACCAATAAGAATTATGGAAGATGGAGGGGACCTACTATCAAACGTGACCTTCACAACACGAAGAGGTCGAGTGAGGGGTATCGATCTGAAGGATAGAATGACCTTGGGCCTCAAGGATATACTTAATATCTAGTGGCAGTCTTTAAGTTCCCTGTCACCAGTCGCAACATGGTGCAGGAGAAGATCTGTGCCAATGCTGGCATTCAACCAGGCATTTTGGGAAATCTGAACAGGGGGGGTCTTCCCGATGCAGAACAATGAAGCCAAGCTTCATTGTTTCACTTCTGCTATTCCATCCATCATGTAATTATCATTCTTTTTTCAATTTTCAATCAGCCACTACCTGAAAATGAGCTGCAACAGCACAGGTGGGGGTTAAAGATGACAAATGTATCCACTGAATCAACATGGTGCTTATGGAGGACTAAATCATCAGGACGAGTAGGGTCAACATGACTAAAATCAAAATGCTTAGTCAATATAGCATGACCAAACAAAGCTT